CTTTTGTAACAAATATCGTAAAGTAAAACACATCAACGCACCAGTCATGTCTGAAAATGTATGTTCCATCTGTACCTCTGGCTCATCATCTCTCTTCCAGGAGGTGAGACTGACTCATGCTTCATCATCAGTCTCTTAGAATCACGATCAAAGTACAAAGATGCGCAAATTGTTCTTCTTCTCTGGATCTCACTGGGTCAGTCCATGCAAATCTTCTCAAGCTTCTCTGAATATTCTTCTTCATATTCATCTTTTATTATGATTCAATGAAATGCCATTACATTCCCATCCCATTTCTTTAGCAATTCTGGAGTAGATGGTCACGTACCTTGCTGCTAGTCCTTGTTACATCAACAAGGGGTGCTAAAAATATTCTTGTGCTTTGATTTTTTTAGTGCTTTGGGGGCACATGCAGGTGGAGTATTGATGTTGGGTCAAATGGCACGAACACTTCACTGACATTTTGGTTTCAGTTTTAAGCTGTTTTCCAGAATGGTTGGATCATTTTACAACTATATCAATAGTTCATAAGTGTGCCTATTTTCCTACAGCCCCTCCAACAATTGTCATTTTCATCTCTCTCATCTTTGCCAATGTGGGGATGACACATCTGAGTTACTTTAACTTGCATTTCTCTTACTTCAGTGAGTTGGAGCTACTTCTTCAAAGAGCCGATAGCTTTCATTTCTTCATTTGGAAACTGTTTCTTCATATCATTTGACCACTTTTTTGGGAGTGGCTCTTGTTCTTATAGGTTTGCATCAATTCCCTAAATATCTTGGATATCTGACCTTTGTCAGAGTATTTCTTATAGGGCTTTTCCCCAATTATTTTCCTTCCAACTCTCACTCCACTAATTTTGCTTTGCAAATGTTTTTCACTTTTTGTGTAATGGAAACTGTCCATTTTATCTTCTTTGATCACCTTGAACCCAACTACCTCTTGCTTCGTTAAGAATTCTCCCACTAGCCATGGTTGTAAAAGACTCTCCTCTGTCCTAAATTGGGGCATGGGGGGAAGGGAGAATGTGACCTTTCTACTTAGCTCATGGTGTGAGATGTTGTTTTCAACCTATTTACTTCTAAAATGTGCTCCCGTTTCTCTGGAATTGCCAGTAGCTGGTGCCCTTGTGCTAAGTTTGATTGCTTTAAGGTCATTTACTCTATCAATTCCATTGTCAACCTTGCTATTTCCTAACCTGGTGAATATTTGGTGATTATTGTCTTATACCATAGGTTGAGATCTGGCCGTGCTGGGCTGTTCATCCCTACTTGTTTCATTATTTTCCCTTTTGTCCTTTTTAACCCTTCGTCCTTCCAGATGAATTTTGTTATTAGTCTAATTCTGTAAAGTGGTAGTTTGATTGATATAGCACTAGATCTGTTCCTCATGCTTAGAATGTTCTCCCTCTTTACTTCTGCCTCTTTGAAATCTCTGGCTCACATGGCTCACATGTAGCCTTTTCCGATTCTCCCAGTTGCTAGTGCTTGAATAGCTTCTAGCTGCACCAGGACTTTTGAGATTGTGTGTGTGTGTGTACTCATAATTATTTTAAATGAAATTATTTTTCATCTCCTCCTGTTAAGTTTTGTTAGTAATATACAGAAACACTGGTGATTTTGTGGGTTATTTTATATCCTGCTACTTCACTGAAGTTATTTTTTTGTGGAATCTCAAAGATTCTCTACATAAACCATATCATCTACAAATAGGGATCATTGTTAACTTATCTCTGTCTATACTTTCCCCTCAATTTTTTTTCTTGTTGTATTGCTATAACTAGCAATTTCTAGAATATTATGTAGTAGTGGTGACAACGGACATCTGTTTTACTCATTATCTTCTACAATTACAATTACTCATTACTCAAGACCTCCAGTGTTCTTTCATTTAAAATATTAGCTCTTGGTTTTAGACTGTGTCTATCATTGTACAGAAAGGGCTATTTACTGCTGTACTTTAAAATTATTTTTTTTTTACACAAAAATGAGTGTAGTCAAATATGTCAAAGGCTTTTCTGCATCTATTGATATAATCATGTCATTTTAATTTTTTTTTCTGTTTATCTCTTCCTGGTTGGGATAGGAGGAACATATTTTGTTTCATAGAAGTTCAACAGGGTACCTTCATTCTCTATTTTTGCAATTAATTTAGGTAATGTTAAAGTTAACTGTTCTTTGAATATTTCGCAGAATTCCCTTGTACCTGAGCCTGGGGTTTTTCTTTGGGAATTCATTAATGGCTTGTTCTGAGAACATGCTAAGTTCTCTGTTTCTTGTTCTGTTCATTTGAGGATTTTGTTTACAAATATTCCTACATTTCATTTACATTCTTCTTGATCTGTTTGACTTCCTTTTCATATTTGGTTTTCCATTCATTTTTTAAAAATTAGATTATTAATGGTTTATTTCATAATTTTCTTTAAAATGCAGCTCCCGATTTTATCAACTCAGAAATTTTGTTTTTCAGTTTTATCTCTTCTTTGATTTTCAGACTCTCTATTTTGTTTATTTGTTGCCCTTCTAGTTTTAGTTGTATGAAGAATTCATCAATATGTTCTTTTTGTTGATTGAAAGTATTTAGGGGGACTGCTAGGTGGCACAGTGGATAGAGTACTGGCCCTGAAGTCAGAAGGACCTGAGTTCAAATCCGACCTCAGACCAAACCCTTGACACTTACTAGCTGTGTGACCCTGGGCAAGTCACTTAACACCAATTGCCTTAAAAAAAAAAGTGTTTAGAGATATGCATCTTCTCCCCGCCAAGGAATGTTTTGCCTACATACCAAAAGTTTTAGAATATTGTGTAACTTTGATAAATTTATTTATTGTTCTTATGATTTGCTTTTTGACCCACTTGTTCTTTAGGATTTTAATCATTTAGTCTGTTAAAGTGTGAACCCTTTATTCAAATTCCCTTTATTATGATTTTGATTGTGCTGTGATCAGTTAATGATATTTATTATTTCTGCTTTTCTGTAATTATTTTTAGTGCCCATTACATGATGAGTTTTTATAAAAGTGCTAATACAAAGCTAAGAAATATGTATATTCCTTTAAATTTCCTTTTAATAATTGCCAGGAGTTTATCAAAACAAACTTTCCTAAAATTCTCAATTCCTCAATTTTTTATGTTAGGTTCCTCTAGGTTTGAAATGGACACATTAAAGTCTCTCAACAACTACTGTTTTATGATTTCTCCAAGTAGTTTAGTTAATTTTTCCTTTAAGTACTCAGATGCTATGTTGCCTTTAAACATAACACAATTTCCCCTGCTTGTGTCTTTTTAACCACATCTGCTTTTACTCCTGCCTTGATTGAAATCATGATCGTCACCTCTGCTTTTCAAAATTTACCTGAGGAATTCTACTCAACTCTTCATTTTACCTGTCAATATGTTTTAAGCATGTGTCTTGCAAATATATCGTTGAAGTCTGCTAATCTCTTCCTTTATTCCCCTCCATTTTATAGCCGTTCATTCTATCTGTAGTTATGATTTTTAGGAGTGCTTTCCCTCCTTGAGGGAAGAGACTTTGATTTTTGTCTTTTACCCCCAGTCACGGACATCATGCTCAGCCACATGGCACACAATAAACGCTTGTTGATCATATTCTATCATAAAACTTCTGTCCTCCCCAGGAGAGTGGGCGATAACCACCATTGGTGGGAGATTAGGGGGAGAATTAGATGAGCAAGACTACTCTAGAATCTGTCTGATCCTACTCCTCTGCACCCTCTTCACCCAACCCAGACCACTGGACTTTACTTTTCTTTTCCCTTTTAATCTCCCCACTTTCTAATCTGCCCTTTGAAGTTTTAAGCTTGCTCCAATTCTACTGTCTTCCTTAATAACCCCCTCCTCCCCTTTACTTATCCTGGTCCCTAGTTCCTTGTTCATGTTATTGTATTTCTAAAGTTTACTTTCTTAATGTCTGGACTTTATTTCACTTCCTACTGAATGTCTTCTGATATATCCCCATTATGAAAATAATAAAGTCTTCAGCCTTCTTCCTGGTTTTTCCCCTAACAGATTCCTTTTCTTTTCTTTCTTAAAACAAGCCAGAGTAACACCATACCTAGATCTGGCTTTTCCCATCTCTGACCAGTTACCCAACCCTATCTATTCACAATAATCTCTCACATCTGTCCTGACTTCTCTATGCCTACTTCTGCCACCCTACGACCCTAAGCCCTCACTATCATCTGTATGGACTATTGTAATAGACACATCTAGGCTCTGAGTTTGTCTTTTTTAGTTTCTCTTGGCTCCTATGTTGACATTTCAATGATTTTACTCAGGTAAGATTTCCTTAATAGGAATAATTGGAAGTCATCTATTGAGAACATATTCATAAAGTACACTACAAACCTTAAGGCACTAGGTAATGCCAACTATCATCACTATTCAAGCATTGATTAAGCATCTATGTGACAGACATTGTGCTAGGTCCTAGGGGTACAAAAAGGAAAGAGTCCTTTCCCTCAAGGAGCTTGTATTCCATTGAGAGAAGAGTATTCAGAATGAACACAAATTAGTATAATGTAGTTGTGGGAGCAAAGGCACTAATAATTGGGAAGATCAAGAAAGGCTCAACACAGAACATGATGCTTGAGCCAAGTCTGCTCAAAAGGAGCAGACTTCTATGGGGTGAAGGCGAGGAAAGGGCATTACAAGCATGGTCGACAGTCAGTGAGTGCAAAAGTAATGAGGTGGAAAGTAGAGCGTTGGGTCTAAAGGACAGCAAAGAGATGGATCTGGATGGACCCCAGGGTTTGCACCAGAAGATGCCTTTTCAATGGCTGCCTCCCATGCCTGGAATGCTTTTCTTCATCACCTCCACTTCCTGGATTCCCTGGCTTCCTTCAAATCTCACATTCCGTCAGAGGTCTTTCCCAATCCCCCTTCATGCTAGTGGCATTCCTCTAAGACTGCCTCCAATTTATATGTATGTATGTATGTATGTATGTAGTTGTCTACATGTTGTCTCCCCCATTAGAATGTGAACTCTTTGAGGATGTGGACCATGTTTTCTGCCTTTCTTTGTATCCCCAGCACTTTGCACAGTGCCTGGCACATATTGAGTACTTACCAAATGCCTATTGATTTGACCATAGAATGTGAAGAGAATAATATATGACGTTGGAAAGGTAATTTGGAGCCAGGTTGTAAAGGCTTTAAAAAATCAGAAGAGTTTAAACTATGCTAGAGGCAGTAAGAAGCCATTTTGGTATTGCCTGTGTTACTGAGTCAGGCCTTTTCAGAGGTTCCCCGCCTTTGCTTCTGACATGGATACCCATGCCTAGGGTTTTCTGTGAGCCCTAGCTGACAGGGATACCCATTTTCCATGTGGAAAATGAAGAAAAGAAGACTATGGGGCCATTCATCAGGGCAGTATAAATCTTAGGTCCTAGTCAGGGACTGGTGGGGGAATGTGCTATTTAAGGGAGTGGGAAAATGAATCAGCAAAGAAATCAAAGAAGCAGGTACAGATAAAGGAGGAAAATCAACATGGTGTAGTGGAAAGACTGATGGCCTTGACGTCAGGACCCCGGGATCTCAACAACTACGGTCTCAAAAGCAAGTAACCCTCTCAGTTTCCTGGTCTCTAGGATGCAACAACTATTACTTGTTCAGCCTACTTCAAAGGATTGTTGGATGTGGGGAGAAAAGCATTCTAAAAATCTTAAAGGTATCACTTAAATTCAAGTTGTTCTTATTAACCACAAGAGTGTGGCATTTTGGAATACAGAAGGGCACAGTGTAGCTGGAAGGAAAAGATGATGAACTACATCAAATACTATATAGACAAACAAGGGTGTATTGCAAAGGCCATCGTACTTAGGAAGTCAGAAGTCACCAGCGTCTCCTTGCTACAGATTGCACATTGACGGGTAGTGAGATAATGACGGTCCAGGAGTAGCTGTATGCCTACAGACAAGTCACTTAAACCCAAGTCACATTTTTCTCCACCTATAAAAAGGATCATAATGCCTGCCATCGTTTCTTCACAGGATTTTTGTGAGATTCAACTAAGATACGTTAATGTTGTTGTAAACTTTCCAGTGCTACGTAAATGCCATTTATTATTATTGGAAATCAGAAGAATTTTCAAGAGGTCTGGCAATGAAAAAAAGAGATAGGTTGGTGAATGGATGGATAGAGATTTTTTTGTTTTTGGGAAATCAGGATACCTAAAAATAAAGTTCAGAAGGGGCCAGTGGGAGAGGTTTAAGACGTAAAGAAAAATGGGAATGACTGCCAAAGTAATGCCCTGGACTAAAAAGGAACTGGTGGCATCAAGGCATAGGCAAAGGAATCAGCCTTTGGAAAGAAGAGGGAGAAGACTGCACTTGCCATGGTAACAGGAAGGAGGAAGTAGTTCAGAATTCTGGGCATTTGTGATGAGTGGACTAAATACAGGAAGTCCCTTCCATTTTTCTACAACTTTCTCAGTAATTTAAGAGTGCACAACAGTGTCTGCTATAAAGTGTGAGAGGACAAAGGAGGCGGCTTGGGACTTTTCGGGAGAGTGAAAAAAGTTTAGAGCAGCCACAGAGGGCAACTAGGCATGGATTCATTTCATCTATAGGGTTTTGCTTTAGTTTGACTTATCTAGTTTTCCGTAGTGTTTGCTCTGTGTGAACCCTTCTCACTTTCATCATATTCATAAGGACTTAACTTCATGAGGCTTCTCTCCAGTATGCATTCTGTGGTGTTGATTAAGTAGTTTCTCTGTGTGGAAGGCATTCTCATGCATGCTATATTCAGAAAGTTTCTCTCCAGTATGAATTTTCTGATGTCGAGTAAGCTGTGAGCTCCAGCAGAAGGCCTTCCCACATTCATTACATTCATAAGGTTTCTCTCCAGTATGAATTACCTTGTGCTGAGTAAGTTGTGAGCTCCTGCGGAAGGTTTTCCCACATACCTTACATTCATATGGTTTCTCTCCAGTATGAATTCTCTGGTGTTGTACTAGTCCAGTGCTCCTGTGGAAGGCCTTCCCACATTCATTACATTCAAAAGGTTTCCATCCAGTATGAATTCTTTGATGTTGTGTAAGTCCTGTATTTCTATGGAAGGCCTTCCCACATTGATTACATTCAAAAGGTTTCTCTCCTGTATGAATTACTTTATGTCGAATAAGTTGTGAGCTCTGGTGGAAAGCCTTCCCACACTCACTACATTCATATGGTTTCTCTCCAGTATGAATTATCTGATGTTGTGTAAGTTGTGACCTACGGCAGAAGGCCTTCCCACATTCACTACATTCATAAAGTTTCTCTCCAGTATGAATTCTCTGATGTTGATTAAGTTGTGAGCTCCGGCAGAAGGCCTTCCCACATTCGTTGCATTCATAAGGTTTCTCTCCAGTATGAATTTTCTGATGTTGTGTGAGGCCTGTGCTTCGGTGGAAGGCCTTCCCACATTCTTTACATTCATAAGGCTTCTCTCCTGTATGGATTCTCTGATGTACAGTAAGTTGTATTCTCTGGCGAAATGCCTTCCCACATTCATTACATTCATAAGGTTTCTCTCCACTGTGAATTCTCTGATGTTGAATAAGCCGTGAACACCAATGGAAGGCCTTCCCACAGTCATGACATTCATACAGTTTCTCTCCAGCATGAATCCTCTGATGTACAATAAGTTGTGAACTCCGGCTGAAGGTCTTTCCACATTCAACACATTCAAATGGATTCTCTCCTCTATGAACTGCTTGATGCTGAGTAAGTTCTGTGAAGTGGCAGAAAGTTTTCCCACATATGTGACATTCATAAAATTTCTCTCCACTATGAATCCTCTGACGTTCAGTAAGTCTTCTGCCTGAGCAGAAGGCCCTTTCACATTGATTAGGTCCACAGGGTTTCTCTCCAGTATGTATTCGCTGATGTTTAATAAAATGAGAACTCCATGGGAAGCTCTTGCCACATTCATTACATTCATAAGGTTTCTTCGCAATGTGAACTTTCTGACACTTACTAAGGTCTGAATTATAACTGATGAGTTTCCCACATTCATTAGATTTAGAAAATATCTTCTTTGAGCTGATTCGATTCTGTTTTCTTAGGTCTAGTCTAGAATGTTTATCTTCATTGCGCTCCTGCTTCCGTAACCTGGCTTTACATTCCCAGGCTTCTATGTCTGGAGCTGACTCGTCTGTGTCAGACCTATTCTTCCAACCTGAAAGAAAACATTTTAAAAATATAAATATCCTATCTCCCTGCTGAATGCATAGTCCTACCCTCTGTCTCCTCTCTTAAGAAAAACAATTGTTAGTCTTTACAGGAAGAACAAATAACAAGAAAACATATAATAATTATTATTACTACTAATTAATATTGTTACTTACAGTCATGTTCACATTATATATAGACATCACTTTGTACTTGTACTTTCATTCCTTCTATGTAGATGCCTGGAGGCTAATAAGAAGCTTTCACCTTCAAACTCACTATACCCTCAGTCATTATATTTCTCCAAAAGAGGAAACTGAGGCTTACCTTCATTTAGTGACTTTTTCAAGGTGACACTGTTAAGTGTCAAAGCCAGAGTGTGAATCAAGTCTTTTGACTCTGATTTATAACACCCTTTCCACTATCCCCCAGAGCCTCTCTACAAACAAGAGTGTAATAATTTTAAGCTCTTTTAAAGGGTTGAACCAGAACAAATGGATCCAAACTACAAGGAGTAAACTTTCAGCTCAACCTAAAGAATGAATATTATGACAAGAAGAGCTAAATTAAATGGGTTATTTAACAGAATGTTAGGGATACACCAGACCTTGGAAGTCACCTAGTCTAATCCCCTCCTTTCAGAGACTGAGGCTACAAAGACAAATAGCTTCCATCGAGTCGCAGCTGGTTCATAGAGGGGCTGAACTCTTCATTTCTGAACTCCCAGGGGTCAGAGAAATGGAAACATGGAACTACAGAGTTGGAAGGAATCTCAGGAACCACTGAGTCCAACTCCTAGCCCCAAAGGAAGATCCTCCCTACAATTCACCAAACAAACAGCCACCAAGCCTCTAAAGGAAACTCCCGGAAGACTAGGCTAACGGCTCCTTCCCAAGGCAACTTCTCACAAGCCGAAATGTGCATCTTGACAGCTTCCAGCCGCTGGTCCCGCCTCTGCCCTCTGGGCCAAACTCCACAAATACATCCCTTCTACTGTGACAGCCTTGCCGTATTGGAACACCGCCATCTTGGCTCCTGAGTCTTCTCTTCTCTGGGGTTAAATGCTCCTAGTGCCTTCAGCTCGAAGCTTTCCACTAGCCTGGCTGTCTTCCTTCGGACCCTCTCCAGTTTAGCAGCATCCTTCCTCAATTACAGGCAGAGTACAGAGAGATTATCACCTCCTTACTACTGCAAGACTTGCTCCTCCATGCTCCTTCGTGCCTAGCCCTGGCACAAGGAAAGACAAGAAAATCAAAGAAAACCCCCACCAGGATCAATAATTTTCATAGCTATAACTCCACAGCATGTGCAACCAGAGACTCCATTTTTTAAAAATGGATTTTCCACAAGTACTACATCAGGAAGTCTTCATTTTTGGGTGTCATGGACCTCTTTGGCAGTCTAGTGAAACAGATGGATCTTTCCTCAGAATAATGTTTTTTAATACATAAGATCCCAAAGGAAACCAAGTATATTGAAACAGCGGTCAACATACTAAAAACACAAACACACACACACACACACACACACACACACACACACACACACACATTCATAGACCCCAAATTAAAAATCCCTGGACAACATGAATGCCTAGAAAAATGAAGCAAGAAGGTGAAGATTAAATTAAGACTCCTGAGGAAAGAAGTGAGAAGAGACTAATTATCTCAGAAGAGAAAGTGATCAACCTGATCCAATCTAAAAACCAGAACAGACCACTCAGAAAACAAAGCTCCACAAGATAGCAAGAAATATTAGAATAAAATCAAAAGATTACAAAAATAGAAGAAAATATAAGAGATAAGTTCAGAAACAATTGGCCTGGGAAACAAGTCAGAAAGATAATTTAAGAAGCATTAGACTCCCTGAAATCATAATCAATCAAAAAGCCTGAACACTCTATTTCAAGAAATCATAAATGAAAACTTCCCAGATCTATCAGAACCAGATGAGGGCAAAGTAACAATGGAAAGAACCCACCTATCACATCCTGAAAGTTCTACAAGCCAAAGATCCTACATAAAGCAAGCTTCCAGAAGGAAGCAGTTCCAGCTCCAAGGGTCCACAGCCAGGGTCACGTAAGACTTAGCAGCATCAACTATAAACAATAGGAGAGCATGAAATACAATATTACAAAATCAAGAGATAGGCTTAAAATTTATCCTGCAGAGCTGAGTATAATCCCACAGGAAAAAAAAAAAAACCTTTAATGGAATAAATGACTTTCAAGCGTTTCTGATGAAGAGCCCAAAGCTGAGTAGGAACTCTGAAAGACAAACACAAGAGTCAAGAGAAAGCTGGGGTTTTGGTGAGGATCAGATGAGAAAATATTTGTAAAAGTGTTTAGCACAATGCCTGATATATAGTAGACACTATATAAATGCTTATTTTCTTCCCTTCCCTAGAAGGCAAGTGTATTTGAGAAATTGCAAGGTACTGCATAATGCCGAAGTACTAATATTCTGATCAGGGGAGAACAAGTGTCCTTCAAATAGGATAAAGAAAGGCCCAAGGGATAGACTGGTTCTGTTCTAAGGGCAAAAGGAAAGTCATAGTGTAAAAAGGAGGAGGAAAGGTTATGGGTGATGACAAGGTCAACCCGCTGTAGTAGGACAGTGCGGGTCATAAGAATCGAGGAGGCTGGTGCTTGGGTGGATGTCAACACGCATAGTGAAATCCCTAATGAACTCTAAGAGCAGGGGCTGGACTAGAGAGGGAGACTATGCTAAGTACCCAACTCTTTGAGAACAAGAAGAGGGTGACACAGGTGGGAGCTGAGGGAGGGGTAACTTGCCATCAGGATTCAGATACGATGATACCTCTGGAAGGACCAGAGGCTGCTGGGGGATGGCAGAAGGGGCGAGGTCAGGAGCAGCCTATCCCCCTCCGGGGACCATGACCGAAGGGCATGAGAGAAGCTGCGTCCAGTACTGTAGAAGGTGCCCAGGACACTGTATCTCCTGTGGGCAGAGATGGAAGGAGAATTTTGGGTTTAGGGATAGTCTGGGGCTTCAGAGGGCACATGGCTGGGGAGGGGTGAGGGGGAGGGAAAGGAGGGGGGATGGGCATAATGACCATCAATAATAACAAGAACTAACCTTTATAAGCCACCTTGAGGTGTACAAGATGCTTCAAGTATATGGTGTCCACACTGCATTTGATCTTCACAATAACCCTGCGACATAGGTGCTATTATTATACCCATTTTACAGAGGGGGAAACTGAGGCTGAGGACTGTTAAATAACTAATTAACTGCTAGTGAGTGCCTGAGGCAGGACTCAACCTCAGGTCTTCCCTGCTTTAGTGGTGAATGGGGAAGAGGAAGTGGGGAATGAGCAGAAAGACATTTTTCCTCTACAGAGGCTTTGAATCTGAATTCCTGAGACTCTGAAAGGAACCTCAGAATTCCAGAGTTTGGCATTGAGAAGGAGAGGAGGCCAGGTAAAGAATGACATGAATCATAGTTCTGAGGAAAGCAGCTCAAAGGGGTCAGAGGAAGGATACAAGCAAGAAAAATGCATCAAATTCTACAGGCGGGAGGGATGGGAAACCTTTAACAGTGAAATTCTGGGGACACACAGGAGAAAAGTAGATAACTCTGATTACTTCCAACAACCGAGTGTTTGCACGAGTAAAATCAGGGGAGCTAAAATTAAGGAGTGAAGTGGAAAATACATAGAATCCCCCCCCTCAGCCCTTCCCGCAAGAGGCATGTAGCCAAAGAGAATGAAGAATTTTCCAAAGAATTACAAACTGTACTTGACCAGAGGTTTCAAATCACTAATAAGAGAAATGAAAACAAATACAACTCTAGGCTTCTACCTCCCATTCTGCAAACTAATTAAGCTAGTCAAAGATAGAACCATCACTGTCGGAGTTTGTGGGAAGACAGGCACCGTGAGGGATGCATTGCTAATGAAGCTGTGAATTGATTTCATTTGTTCTGCATTCCAATTTCAAATTATGCCAGAAAAGTGACAGATCACAGATACCCAAAGACCCCAAAATCTCCCTCAGTCACGCACTTCAAGCAAGTCACGTGGAAACAAAGGTCTACAGAGACCAAAACATCCACAACTATGTTCTCCATGGCAGCAAAGAAATGGAACAAGTGGGTGCCTGCTTATCCTCTGGACAAGGGCTGAAAAAACCAGGGGAAGCAAATGCAATGGAAAATTACTGTGCTGTTACAAAAGAGGAAAGAACTTTAGAGAAGCTTGGGAAGATCTTTGTGAACTGATGCAGATAGAAACAAGCAGAACCAAAGAATAACAAGCACAAAGACTCCAACGGTGTAAATGAAAAGATGGCCACAAGTTCCAGGAACTGAGAAGGCGAGGATGACCCCACAGAACAGAAAATTCAATCCATCTTCGGCCTCCCAGTAGAGCAGAGAAAGCCGAGGCCCAACGCTGCGGACACTGACAGCTGCAGCTAGGACAATGGATATTTGGGCTTGTTTCCTTGGTCGCAATGGAGGGTTCGATCTGGAGCGCAGGAAGTAGGAGTGACTGTGATGGAAAGACAAAAATCACGCATCAAATTTTTTGCTTAAAGAATGAAATCCTGATGCCACAGAGGGAAGCGATTCCAAAAAGAGGGAACAATGGGATGTCCGCAGAAAGTGATGCGGCTGCAGGAGCGCCCCCCACATTGATACTGAAGGCTGGAGCAAGGATGGATGGATGAATGCGGCGTGGTCCTGTGGGAGCAGTGTCGGGGGACAGCAGAAAGGGTTTGCTTGATTCTTAGTCATCTGGAGGGAAAGAAGGGGGTCAAAGAGGGGATAGGACGATGGAGAGAAGGCAGAGCACCTCAAATGTGATCTTCCTTCTGTTTTTAGAAATGTTTTCCCTACCGAGGAGAATGATCTTTGGGCTGGACCAGAGAGAACAAAAGTGACTGCCAAAGATAAGTAAGGGGCAGGTGGTCAGAAAGCACTCAAGCTACCCTTGGTGGATTCATCACCCGGCCCAGAAAAATGACATCCTTAGGTCCTAGAAGAAATGGAGGATGGTACTGCTGGGCCACTGTCAGTAATATCTGAAAGACTGTAGACAGGACCACAGGACTAGAGAAGGACTAGCCTTGAACTACAGGCTGGTGAGCTTAGATTTCAATTTCTTGGAAAATTCTGTGACTACAAGGAAATGGAAGGACCGTGAGAAGGAAAAGGGCTGTTTGTTAACAAGCGAATAGGGATTCTAAAGGGCACAATGGGAAGAGAAAGTCAGAAGGATAGGGACCTAGGGATAGTAGATGATGATATGGATGACGGTAGGACTATAATGGAGGGAGACAAAGGAGGGGTCAAAGGTTAAGGGAGCTTTCGATTAGGCAGCCCCAGACTCCAAACAAATCTCCAAGGGGAAGGTACGCCGGACATGAGACGGTCCTTTCCTCCTTGGCAGGTTAGAGCGGCTCCACTCCAGGCCTCAGTTAAGATGCTGATCTGATTTGAGGTGGAAGGGCGGGGGCTGAGGTTCGGACCTGGATGTAGGCAGGAGGCCTAAAGTCTGGGCCCACTCTGGTTATGAGGCAGTAGATTTACTCATCCTTTCTGGCTCCCAGGGAAAGCTCTGCCCACAGTCCCAGGTCAGATGCTGACTGAATCGTCACCCCATTAGGAGGATAATGGAGGGGACCAATCTCAAGTCTTAGCACGGGCCAGAAAGTCTGATGATAAAAGGTGAGAAGTGGTGATCAGATGGCAAGAAGGCATGGATGGAGCACTGCACTCTCCTTCACACAATGTAGGCTCCAGCCAAAGGAGCTATGGGTCTCTGCCCAGGATTTCTCCATGCTAGAATGCTCCTTCTCCAGAGGGCCACATCACACACAAGGCTTTTCCTGACCTCCCCACTTCTTAATGCCCTCTCCCCACCCAAGATTCCTTCGTATGTTTGCCAGCTACTTATTTGTATAAGCACTGTGTCCCAATCCCTCCCCTCTACCAGGAGAGCAGGGACTGTTCTGTGTCTGGGCCTAGTTCAGTGCCAGATACTTGGTAGGTATTTAGTAAATGTCTGCTGAATTAAAATCTCTCCCCTACAAGCAAACATCTTCCCCTAACGGCAGAAGAGAATGTGAGTGGAGCGATGTCTGGGCATTGATTTGTCGAGGTGCAGATGAGCCTTCCCAGGCCCTCCTTCCAAGGCCCAGGGGCTTTGACAAAGATCCTCCTGCCAGCATTGGTAAAGCAGATGTTTTACATTGCCTTGTCTCCCTCATTCCATGCACTCACCTCGAAGGCTGCTTCCTGAGTCTTCTCTCTCTGGCATCCAAAGCGCTTCCCCTTGGTCCACCTGGCCACGAACACCTGGCTTGGACACTGCCAGTCCTGCTCGTTGGAAACGAGAAAATGCTAGGGACAGAGAACCTACTAACAATTCGATCCCGGTCCCTGTCTCTTCAGGGAAAAGTGGACATGCTATCTGTGGAGGATGCTCTTTGAAGTGTTTCTGGGAAGTCTGATGGTGACAGGGAAACTGTGATTTTGGGCTCAGAAAGATGAGGAGTTGATGTGATCCCTTCTCTGCTAAGATGGGCCTCTTGCCTGTCTTCACATGCCTTCCCTGGGATGTTAGGGGAGAAATGGGACCAGGAAAAATAGAGAGTGGGGAAAGTACATGAGCAAGTCTCTTTTACCTGGGAACAGGTAACAAGAGGCTGTGTCCCCCGGCCACAAAAAGGTCGGCCATCTCTGCTAAGTAATAATCACTGCAGCCCTGAGGCGCCCAGAGCATCTGCTCGGGATCCCCTGGGCAGACCGTGAGTCCAGGGAGAAAGCTGTCATTACCAAGGCAGACCAGGGTCCTGTAGTTCTCCAGCATCACGTCCTTGTACAATTCCTTCTGAGAAGGGGCCAGGCATGCCCATTCTTCCCAGGTGAAGTCCACAGCCACATCCTGGAACGTCACTGCCTCCTAAAACACCAAAGATACTTGTGCTAGCCCCGGGGCCATCCTCTGCGTGCCTGGCAGGGGACGTGGGTGCGGGCGGAGGAGTATGCTCCAAGTCTGACATTTATTGACTCTCTTCTAGGTGGCGAGGTGCCACGTTCTGTTCTAAGACTCATCTCGTTCAGTCCTTTCAGTCGTGTTCCACCCTTCTGGGCCCGTTTGGGCTACGTCTTCCTGGTGCCCATCACAGCTTCCTGAGTTGTAATGCAGCCTCGGACGCTCACTAGGTGTGTGACCCTGGGCGAGTCACTTAATCCAGTTTGCCTCAGTTTCCTCATCTGTAAAACGAGCTGGAGAAGGCCATGGCAAACCGCTCGGGCGTCTCTGCCAAGAAACCCCAGCAGGGGTCACGAAGCGTGGGACAGCCTGAAAGGACTGAACTCTCCCGGTGTGTGGGAGCGCTCTTCGTGAAGGAGGCCTGTGCCCGGTGCTTCTAGCTGGCTTCTTCCCCATCAGGCTGAGCTCCCAGAGGGCTTCGCGGGCTTTCCAGAGCGAGCACCTGGGGGCACGGCGGAGGACCCGGGGTCGGCCTCCTAGCCCCGCTTTGGGCGCAGGGAGCCTCCAGCCAACGCGAGCCGACGCCCGGGGGCCGGCGTGCCCGGCGTGCCCGGCGTGCCCGGCGTGCCCGGCCTCCTAGACTGGCTCGGCGCCTGGCGCGCAGAGCAGCAGGGAACCGAGCCCAGGGCTCTTTGGCCCCGCCCCCTAGCTCTCGGCCCACGTGACCCGGCCCCCGGCCCTCCGGCCCCGCCCCCAGGGCCCGCGCTCACCTGCCTGGCCGCTGGGGCCATGTCACCCTCGCTCATCCCCCTCGCTGGCTCCCGAGGCGCCTCTGACCCGAAGTTCACCCGGGACGGCCTGGGGCGGGACCGCGACTCCTCGCGGATTGGTTCACCCTGCGCCCCTCCCCCCGGGGCCGACCTATGACAGCGTCCTTTAGTGAAAGGGGGGGGGTGGTGCGAGTCTCGGACTGCGCATGCGCGGCTCTCTGGGCTAGGGATAAGGCTTCGGGGGCCGACCTATGACAGCGTCCTTTAGTGAAAGGGGGGGGTGGTGCGAGTCTCGGACTGCGCATGCGCGGCTCTCTGGGCTAGGGATAAGGCTTCGGGCCGAGGGGACCCTGGACCGCAGGCGCGAGGAGGCGAAGCCGCCCTGGAAATGACCCCCTCCGCCGCCCCTCCCACACCCACAGAGACGTCGCGTGGCCTTCTGGGAAACAGAGTCCGCCGGACTTGGGAACTGCGCAAGCGCGGGAGTGACGTCCGCATTGAGGCCTCCCCCGCCCCCAACGGGGGGGTGCCCGCATGGCCTGTCGGGAAATAGAGTCCGTAGGACTCGGCCGCCCTCCGGCCCAACCCCCCCTCCCAGCCATCTCCCCCGTCTCCCCATCAGCTCAATTTGAAACTCTCTTGTTCGTCGTTCAAAGCCCTCAAGGGCCTTTCCTCTCCCCCACCCCCACCCCCAGCTCTCCATGAACGCCCTCGCACCCGGGACCCCGGCCTCCCGGGTGCTCCTGCCATTAGACCCTCAATCTCCCGACCCCGGGCATTTGCCCGGGCTGCCCCCCGGGCCGAGACCCTCCCTCCCGGCCAGAGCGCCGCCTCCTCCCTCTAGAAGGGGACCCCATCGTTAATCCGGAAGGCAGGCCGACTGGGGAGCCCCAGGTTTATTGCAAAGTAAAATTAAACCTCGCTTTGTGTTTGAAGTCCGTTTGCACGGTAGGGGGAGGGGCCTCTGGTCGGACCCACGTCCTCGTCCGCCTGTCCTCCCTGTCCGCCTGTCCACCCTGTCCTCCCTGTCCGCCTGTCCTCCCTGTCCGCCTGTCCTCCCTGTCCGCCTGTCCTCCCTGTCCGCCTGTCCTCCCTCCGGGGCGAGGCATTCTGGCGTTAACTGAAGCGGGGCGGGGGCGGGCAGGAAGACTCCCCAGAATCGTGTCTTTCGATGCACAAAATGAAATGCATAGGATTACGAAGGAGCCCAGTCACTGAAATGAAGATGCATTTTTATCTCATCCGAGCACGTTTTCCTAGAGCCTGCAAACATGAGGTTCTAATGTAACTTGCTCACACCTTGTATGGGTAGCCCAAGTCCCAAAGCCCCTATGTACATATGGCACTCTCTTCATTGGTGCCAATCCGTGCCCCATGCCCGTGAGGGGTGGGACAGGATATAGCAAGAATGGGAGAGAAGCCTGCAGCCTCTTCTTTCTTTTTACTCTTTGAGTCTGCTCAAGTCTCTTGAGTCCCTTGGGGCTCTGCAGCCACCCTGGGTCCTTCTGGCTTCCGTCTTGGAGAGACAAGGTGGATGGTGCCAACCGCCCTTTGGTGCTGAAGGGAAGATAAGACTGGGAAGAGACTGAGCTGAGAGGAGCTGGCAGCCTCCACCACGTGCTGTCCCCGTGCTGGCCGCAGGAGGGACTTCAGAGAGATTTTACCTTTCTCTCAGGTAAGCTGAGTTACCTGGCCCCCAGTGGGACAGCTCCTTCACTCTGCTGTCTGGTGTATATTTTCCTATGTTTTCTCTGGTTTCTGTTTTGCTATCAACTTCAATTAGTTTCTTTGCTAATTGCTTTATATGTTCGTTGTGGAACTAGTCTTTCATAGGAAGAGAGTCAAGCCTTGACTGGAAGTCTCCTCCATTAATAAACAGCAATCAGAAGTTTAATTTGAAAGTGAAAACTGAAGAGGGAGGGGGGTTTTGGGGTGCTCTTAGATGCACAGAGTCACCCCAAGATCGTGGGAAAAAGCCCAAATCACAGCGCGGATCTGCCTGAATTAATTCAACTCAGATCTTCTTCCAGCCAGAGAAAAAGTTTGTTAAAGATAAGCATATAGGCCAGACTCCAAAGAAACCCACACATCAGTGGTCTAAATAGGGTTCAAGGCGGTCAGGGGACGCTCACAAGGACGAGCAGGGTGAGGCACTCTAGAAAGCTCAGCGCCGAGTGGGGGCTGGGGCTAGGGTGGTCAGGCCAGGTGACGCCCTTAGGATTGGCGGCATGAGGGGTCTCAGCTTCTAAGCTTGAGAACAGCTCAGCCTCAGAATGGGGGAAAGGTGAGCCTTAAGTACAGACTGAGGGAGGGGCCATCCAGTTTGGAGTGAGGGGAGGAGGGGTCCAAGGAGTGGCCAAGCAGTTTGGGATGAGGGGAGGAGGGGTCTAGGGAGATCTGGATGGGGGTGGCCAGAAAGCTGGGACAAACTGAACACTGACGCCTAGCTAGGATTAAGGGTGGGAATGGCCAGGAAGGCAAAACAATGGGAGAGCCAGTTGATGGGGGAGGTGGACCATTTGGAAAAGGGTCCAGGTGAGAATTCCCCTTTGGAATGTCTGCCTGATTTGAACAGACAATGAGAATAGATAACGAAGGGAGCTGGGAGGGGAAGTTTGCTTTCAAAGGGAAATAAGGCAGTTTCTAAAACTTGAAGGGTTTCCTGGGACCGTAAACCAAACTGAAGCCAGGTTCTTTTTGTCAAAGAGAGATAAGTGAGTCTACAAGGAATCTAAAAAGTTGTAAGGTTTTTCTGGGAATTGTAGGCAAACCTTCAAAAACTATATCCCCTGGACTAGCAGTATTTAAGGGAGTGGATAGATCTACTTCTAGTCCAGTAGCCCCGCTCTTTGAGGAGAACAGAGTGGCCAAGCTTTTGGCTCTAATCCCCTGCTTTCCCTCCTGGCAGGATTGAAAGTCTTCCCTGGAGATGGGTCGGGGGAGAAGAGATTAGAAATGTCCCCTCTGCCTCCCTTTGAGCCACACAATGCTCCATGCTACACATGAGGGAACTACTACATACAGTATTATAATCTTATTTCTGAAAGAAGATGCAGGAGACAGGAATCCATATAGTCAGTGGTGTCATGGAATGTTTACATGTTTTATTTCTTTCAGATTGGGAAACCAGACCTGAAAACAAGGAGTTAAGTCCAATGCTGAACATATTTCTGGAAGAATCTTCCTGGGGAAAACTCAGAAAGGATAGTCTTTGTGTCTTAAGGTTGAGGGAAGCCCCAGAATGTGATACCAGCTGAAAGAGTTGGTACAGTCATGAGGAGAAACATTCCAGCCAAGTAAAAATCACCCAGAGGAAACTTTCCAGTAAGGTGAAAGGCCATGAATATAATAAGAATGGCGGAAGCTTTGGTGTAAAGTCAGTCCTTTCAGAATAGACAATTTCCAAGGAAAAGGAGGGTAGGAAATAATTTTGTAATCAGTTAGACCTTATTTATGTAATCATAGATTAAATATTGGTAAGAAACCTTATGAATGTAATGAACATGGGAAAACTTTCCTTGGGTTGACAGAATTTACCCACCATCAGAGAATTCATCCTGGAGAGAAACCTTTTGCAAAGAGGCAAGATCTAGAATATCAAGGTGAATTATGCAAAGAGATAGGGATGAAAGAGGACCCACCAATTCTTTAGGATTAAGTTATTTAGTTTCTAATTAAGTTTTAATCTTTGCTTCAAAGGTCCTTAATTAAATGTAATTTTTATTGCATTATTGTAAGCAAAAGATTCATTTAACATTTCTACTTTTTTGTATTTGTTTGTGATGGTTTTATACCCTAATAGAGGGTCAATTTTTGTAATGATGCCATGCACAGATGAGATATAATTATGTTCCTTTCTATTCCTATTCAATATTCTCCAGAAGTCTATCATATATAATTTTTCTAAGATTTCATTTGGTCCTTCATATCTTGTTGTTGTTGTTATTAAGTTTATCTAGGTCTGAGAATAGTAAATTGAGGTCCTCCACTATTAGTTTTGCTGTCTATTTCTCCCTGAAACTCATCGGACTTTTCCATCAACAATTTATATGCTATACCATTTGGTGCATATATGTAAAGTATTGACATTAATTCACCTTTAAGTGAAATATCGTTTCCCTGTTAATCCCTTAATGAGGTCTGTTTTTGCTGTTATTCTCTCTGAGAGCATGATTGCTACCTCTGCCTTTTTTTATTTCAACTTAAGCACATTTAGGGTTAGGGATCTGTTCCAGACCCTTCAGTCCTTTTTGAGGTTCTACCCCAATACTGCTTTTCTCACCCTTTCGTTGACTATGAGGGCTACTCCATTTCTTCTAAGGGATTCTTGCCCACAGTAGTATGTGTAGTGATCCTCTGAATTAAAGTCACCCATTCCCGTCCAGTTAAGTTCACTTACACCCAAGATGTCAGTGTTTAATCTTTCCATCTCCTGTTTGACCACATCCAGCTGACCTTGGTTCAGAGATCTTACATTCCAGGTTCTTATGCAATGTTGATCTTCACAGCATCAGATTTTGCTTTCCTCACCAGATGCATCCAAAGCTGAGCTTCTTTTCAGCTTTGATCCAGTCACTTCATTAGTACTGGAGCTACTTGTCCTCCGCTCTTTCCCCAGCAACGTCTCGGACACCTTCTGACCTAAAACGCTCTTCTTCCCATGTCATCTCTTGTATCATTTTTGTACTGTCCATGGATTTTTCATGGCAAAGATACTGGAGCAGTTTGACATTTCCTTCTCTAGTGGATCACCTTTTGTCAGAACTGTCCACTCTGACCTGTTTATCTTGGATAACCCTGCACAGCATAGCTCGTAGTTTCATTGAGCTATGCAAGTCCCTCTCCCACAACAAGTCAGTGATCCAGTAGGATCTGAGAATTCCCCAGAAGAGCAAGCTGGTTTTCAAAGAGGCAGAGGAATTAGAGACCAAATTGCCAACATTCACTGCATTATGGAGAAGGCAAGAGAGTTCCAGAAAATATCTACTTCTGCTTCATTGACTCCACTAAAGCTTTTGACT